ACTACACATGTACTAACACTCTACACGCTGTACTAACACTACACACACTATACACATGTACTAACACTACACACACTATACACATGTACTAACACTCTACACACTGTACTAACACTGCACACACTATACACATGTACTAACACTACACGGTGGACTGACGCTACACTACACATGTACTAACACTCTACACGCTGTACTAACACTACACACACTCTACACATGTACTAACACTACACACACTATACACATGTACTAACACTCTACACACTGTACTAACACTGCACACACTATACACATGTACTAACACTACACGGTGGACTGACGCTACACTACACATGTACTAACACTCTACACGCTGTACTAATACTACACACACTATACACATGTACTAACACGCTGTACACACACTAACGCTACACGATGTACTAACGATACACACAGGCGGTGTACTAACGCCACTGTTGTAAGTAAAGGGGATCTCTGTAAACAGTACTGTAGTTGTGTGGGCCGATACTTTGTGTGTGTGTGTGGTGTAGCATTCATAGGTGCTCGCCAACAGCACTTGCCCCCTACAGTCTGTTCAGGCTATACGGGGGATCTTTGTCTTTTTTCTGTTGTGACACACGTGACGCACACGTGTCACGTGTGTGTGGTGTGACACACGTGTCACGTGCGTGTGTGTGGTGTGACACGTGTGTGACGTGTGTGTGGTGTGACACACGTGTGTGACGTGTGTGTGTGGTGTGACACACACACGCGTGTGTGTGTGGTGTGACACACACACGCGTGTGTGTGTGGTGTGACACACACACGCGTGTGTGTGTGGTGTGACACACACACGCGTGTGTGTGTGGTGTGACACGTGTGTACACACACACACACACGTGTGTGTGGTGTGACACACACACGTGTGTGTGTCGTGTGACACACACACCACACACACACGTGTGTGTGTACCACACACACACGTGTGTGTGTTACACACGTGTGCTATCTGTATGTGGTGTGACACACGTGGCATGTGTGCGCGCCACTGTAGGACTGTACTTACAGTACACAGCGTGCACGTGTCACCCACACAATGTACACCCCCATACGTTGCTTGCACAACAATAAGTCCTCTCTGTACGCATCGCACACCCTTAGGTTGTGTGTACACTACACGTGTTGTGTATGCAAATACCCGGTACTGTGCAGTAACAAGTGTGTGTTGCGAATGCAATGCGTGCCTTTTACACTGCGTGTATACTGCACATACTACTGTGTGGCGTATACATTGTATGTGTGTACACTACACGTTATACACTGTACGGCATGCATTGCACATGTTTGTGCATATACACTACACGTGGGGTACACACTGCTGCTGCATGTATATGGTGTGTACACACTGCTGTATGTATATGGTGTGTGCACACTGCTGCATGTATATGGTGTGTACACACTGCTAAATGTATATGGTGTGTACACACTGCTGAATGTATATGGTGTGTACACACTGCTGAATGTATATGATGTGTACACACTGCTGAATGTATATGGTGTGTACACACTGCTGCATGTATATGGTGTGTACACACTGCTGCATGTATATGGTGTGTGCACACTGCTGCATGTATATGGTGTGTACACACAGCACTGTGCTGTATGTATATGGTTTGTACACACAGCACTGTGCTGCATGTATATGGTGTGTACACACTGCTGCATGTATATGGTGTGTACACACTGCTGCATGTATATGGTGTGTACACACTGCTGCATGTATATGGTGTGTACACACTGCTGCATGTATATGGTGTGTACACACTGCTGCATGTATATGGTGTGTGCACACTGCTGAATGTATATGGTGTGTGCACACTGCTGCATGTATATGGTGTGTGCACACTGCTGCATGTATATATGGTGTGTGCACACTGCTGCATATATATGGTGTGTACACTGCTGCATCTATATGGTGTGTACACACTGCTGCATGTATATGGTGTGTACACACTGCACTGTGCTGTATGTATATGGTGTATACACACTGCACTGTGCTGTATGTATATGGTGTGTACACACTGCTGCATGTATATGGTGTGTACACACAGCACTGTGCTGTATGTATATGGTGTGTACACACTGCACACTGCTGCATGTATATGGTGTGTGCACACTGCTGCATGTATATGGTGTGTACACACTGCTGCATGTATATGGTTTGTACACACTGCACTGTGCTGCATGTATATGGTGTGTACACACAGCACTGTGCTGCATGTATATGGTGTGTACACTGCTGTATGTATATGGTGTGTGCACACTGCTGCATGTATATGGTGTGTACACACTGCTGCATGTATATGGTGTGTACACACTGCACTGTGCTGTATGTATGTGGTGTGTACACACTGCACTGTGCTGTATGTATATGGTGTGTACACACTGCTGCATGTATATAGTGTGTACACACAGCACTGTGCTGTATGTATATGGTGTGTACACACAGCACTGTGCTGTATGTATATGGTGTGTACACACTGCTGCATGTATATAGTGTGTACACACAGCACTGCTGTATGTATATGGTGTGTACACACTGCTGCATGTATATGGTGTGTACACACAGCACTGTGCTGTATGTATATGGTGTGTACACTGCTGTATGTATATGGTGTGTGCACACTGCTGTATGTATATGGTGTGTGCACACTGCTGCATGTATATGGTGTGTACACACTGCTGCATGTATATGGTGTGTACACACTGCTGCATGTATATGGTGTGTACACACTGCTGTATGTATATGGTGTGTACACACTGCTGCATGTATATGGTGTGTACACACTGCTGCATGTATATGGTGTGTACACACTGCTGCATGTATATGGTGTGTACACACTGCACTGTGCTGTATGTATGTGGTGTGTACACACTGCACTGTGCTGTATGTATATGGTGTGTACACACTGCTGCATGTATATAGTGTGTACACACAGCACTGTGCTGTATGTATATGGTGTGTACACACTGCTGCATGTATATGGTGTGTACACACAGCACTGTGCTGTATGTATATGGTGTGTACACTGCTGTATGTATATGGTGTGTGCACACTGCTGTATGTATATGGTGTGTGCACACTGCTGCATGTATGTGGTGTGTACACACTGCTGCATGTATATGGTGTGTACACACTGCTGCATGTATATGGTGTGTACACACTGCTGTATGTATATGGTGTGTACACACTGCTGCATGTATATGGTGTGTACACACTGCTGCATGTATATGGTGTGTACACACTGCTGCATGTATATGGTGTGTACACACTGCTGCATGTATATGGTGTGTACACACTGCACTGTGCTGTATGTATGTGGTGTGTACACACTGCACTGTGCTGTATGTATATGGTGTGTACACACTGCTGCATGTATATAGTGTGTACACACAGCACTGTGCTGTATGTATATGGTGTGTACACACTGCTGCATGTATATGGTGTGTACACACAGCACTGTGCTGTATGTATATGGTGTGTACACTGCTGTATGTATATGGTGTGTGCACACTGCTGTATGTATATGGTGTGTGCACACTGCTGCATGTATGTGGTGTGTACACACTGCTGCATGTATATGGTGTGTACACACTGCTGCATGTATATGGTGTGTACACACTGCTGTATGTATATGGTGTGTACACACTGCTGCATGTATATGGTGTGTACACACTGCTGCATGTATATGGTGTGTACACACTGCACTGTGCTGCATGTATATGGTGTGTACACACTGCACTGTGCTGTATGTATATGGTGTGTACACACTGCTGCATGTATATAGTGTGTACACACAGCACTGTGCTCTATGCATATGGTGTGTACACACTGCTGCATGTATATGGTGTGTACACACAGCACTGTGCTGTATGTATATGGTTTGTACACACAGCACTGTGCTGCATGTATATGGTGTGTGCACACTGCTGTATGTATATGGTTTGTACACACAGCACTGTGCTGTATGTATATGGTGTGTGCACACTGCTGTATGTATATGGTGTGTACACACTGCTGCATGCAAATGGTGTGTACACACTGCTGCATGCAAATGGTGTGTACACTGCTGCATGTATATGGTGTGTACACACTGCTGCTGCATGTATATGGTGTGTACACACTGCTGCTGCATGTATATGGTGTGTACACACTGCTGCTGCATGTATATGGTGTGTACACACTGCCGCTGCATGTATATGGTGTGTACACACTGTCGCTGCATGTATATGGTGTGTACACACTGCCGCTGCATGTATATGGTGTGTACACACTGACGCTGCATGTATATGGTGTGTACACACTGCCGCTGCATGTATATGGTGTGTACACACTGCCGCTGCATGTATATGGTGTGTACACACTGCCGCTGCATGTATATGGTGTGTACACACTGCCGCTGCATGTATATGGTGTGTACACACTGCCGCTGCATGTATATGGTGTGTACACACTGCCGCTGCATGTATATGGTGTGTACACACTGCCGCTGCATGTATATGGTGTGTACACACTGCCGCTGCATGTATATGGTGTGTACACACTGCCGCTGCATGTATATGGTGTGTACACACTGCTGCATGTATATGGTGTGTACACACTGATGCTGCATGTATATGGTGTGTACACACCTCACTGTGTACCGATTTGTTCACATTCTTGCCCGTGATGTCACACATGATGAGTTTATATTCAGCGCTGTGCACGCTACAGCACTGGCACGTGTGCGTCTGTTTATTACAGTCACACCAGGTGATGATTATCTGAACATCGCCACTGGGGATACAAAGGCGGCCGGGCGTGGTGCTGGACACCCCCAACACCCTCGTGCACCGTGCCGGACTTCATAGGTGCTACACGCTCACAGCACTTGCCCCAAACAGTCTGATAGGGCTACACGGGGGATGTTTGTCTGTGTGTGTGCATGTAACGTGTATATTACGTGTGGCTGTGCACGTGCATGTTGTGTGTGTCTTTTGTCAATGCCTCTCTATGTGTGTGTGTAGTGAATATGTGTGCGTGTATACATTATAATATCTGCGTGTATGCTTCGGTGCACCAAGTCCCGTGGAAAATTATCTCCGCTGCTGTAGCAGGCCAGACGTAGAATGCTGGGTGTCTGTGCAGGATCTCACCGCCCTGAAACCACATTGGGAGGGGGTGGAAGCTGTCAAGGCTGCTTCCTCATCGTGCCTGGCAAGACGATGTGGAACAATCCTCGCCAAGACTTTTCGGTTTCACAATGATGTTATTACAATCGGTTGCATTCTCCCCCCCTGGTCCTCTTTGTAGAGGGGGGGAAAAAAAAACTTGGCAACCACCAGGGCAGGCTGCCCTTCCAATCCTGCAGAAGATGTCCCGAGAAATTCTGCCGCGTGAAAATAATAACAATAATTCAAATGAATAGTTGCGCATTCCACCCTAGGATTCCCAAAAGTGTAATGCATGAACAGTAGGAAACAAAAACAGAACCAGGGGCAACCGACCAAGCTAAAAAATGAAGGACCACTTTAAAGAGATGGGATTTCAAAGCAGGCTTAAATATATCTACCGACTCTGATTGCCCTGATTTCAAGTGGCAAGGCGTCCCATAGCTAGACCTTGGGAGTGCTGAGCAGTTGGAGATCAGAAGATCTTAAGGACCTTGATGGAATATGTAAAAATGTATTCGTTCCTGCAAGTAATGTGGGGTGGTGAGCCCCTTTTAAAGCCGTATAGGTTATTAGCGGTATCTTAAATCCACTCGGAATTTGACTTGTAGCATACCTATCGACCCATACGGTTTACCCATATTCCAGTACAGGAAAATTGACTTACAGGTCCATACGGCCGGCGTACAGTCATTTAAATTCGGGCAAAAAAAAGTTTTTGTTTGTGTTTCTCCCTTGTAATGGGACTTAGCAGGATTAACGTTGATATAAGGGCACGGGGTGACCAATAAGGTCTGTACTGATCTGTATTAAGGTAGGGCACTGACAAGGGGTTGGCAGCTATGTGGTAGCCAACCAAGAGATGAGACGGCCTCGCACGCCAAGTGCTTCTCCGCCTCGGCGATTCGTTTTGGAGTGCATCGCCGTCCTGCCCTTTACTCCCGATCAGCACGGTTGGCTACGTACGGGTGGCGAAAGAAGTTCAACGTACAGTACACGCGTAGGGTTCTCGGGCTCTGGGTCGCATTTTTGCAGCTCCTCGGCAGATGGCAAACAGCCAGCCACTCGCAATGGTGGAAGGGGGGCATCTACTTCCTGTCGGAGGGTCAAGCATCCCTTGGTGACCTTACGCCAGTGTTCTTTACTACTTTCGCCGCTAAGACATCATCGGTGTGAGGGCCGCCACACAATTTTAACCAATTTGGGGTTTGATAGCACGATGATTATGTGGGGGGGGGGGGGCGGAGTGGGTGTTTTCACATTTGTGTATTGTCGGGGCCTACATTAAAGGTCACCAGGAGCCGCCAATGGCCCACAGGCCTTGCATCGAAGAATACTGGCCCACCTAGCCGGTATTGTTATGGCTGAGGGGTTCCCCACACCCCAACCCCCCCCCCCCCCTATAAAACACAGAGTTGCTCAGCAAAATCTGCAGACCTGTTCCCGTGGGCCGTAGATCGGATCACCATTCTTCCGCCTTAAGGGTGGTAAATTGTGGTGTCGCTGCAATTTTGTTTTTGATGGTACCAGAGAGTGGCTAGCGATCATGGGCTACCGTGACAGTTCCCATATCCTCACCAGCTCTCCACAGTAGGTCCTGGTGCCAAGGACGTAGGCTCAACGTTTGCTGTTCTACCACTACATAGCCCGGCAGATAATCTTGCTTGGACGGAAGATGTGTGCATGCACCAATAATGGAACGGTGTGTTGGCAATTACATGCCCCGTGGGCTTGCAATCCAAAACATCGCCATTGGGGAGACAAAGGCGGTCGGACGTGGTGCTGGCCATCCTCCTCCGCATGTACCGTGTGGGTTTTCATAGGTGCTCGCTAACAGCGTTTGCCCCAAAAGTCTGCTCCGGCTATGAAGGGGTTATCTTTGTAGTCCATTAGCCTTTGGCACTTCACGTGGCCTCAAGGTGTACTTAGCCTGGCACAAGCGCCGAGTTGACGTCACGGCCACTTGCTGTTCAACGGCGGTTGATGTTGTGTTCGTCCAGTAGAGATGTATGTGTGTGTGTGTGATTTATGTGTCCGTAGTGCAGTGTAGATGTGTGTGTGTGTGCGAGAGAATTAATGCAGTGTGCCCGTGTGATGTGGATTTACCATCGCATTAGGGCATGGGTGCGCATGATTACCAGTAATGGCCATATGCATTTCGCATGAGAATATTGTGCCTGAGCTGCTCCTGGACAACATTCTCCCATCACAAAGCCTCGGGAGACCATTCACGGCGCAGTATTTGTCCGCAAGGCGTTTTAATTAAATGACGCGCGGAAGCTGCGAGCGTAACGTCTATTCCCTAGCGGCGTGCGAGTGGCGCGCTCCAAATAATCGCCGACTGCCTTGCAAGCCGGCGATTAAAACCGTTCGCGTGCGTTTGTATATTTTTTTTGTGTTATTGCGAGAGGAAGGCGTAGGCCCACGGCTGGAACGACGGCGTTACACAACACCTCATGGCGGGCAGTCGCGGAGATCCACAGCTCGGATGACGTGTAAAAAGCCCATTCGGGCACGGCGAGTGAACTCCACGCGCTTGGTTTGGACGCGTAAATGCCGATTCACAAAGCGTGATATATTATAGGGTTGGCAAATGGCAAATGACTGTGATTTCGTTTGGCAAAATATGACCCCCCCCCCACCCCCCACCAATGTTTATGTTACGTTATTGCTGCATTGTTCGTGGGCCCTGGAAACGTGTGAATTCACTTGGTGGGTTGGCGAATGGCACTTGGCTCTTAGAGGAATCAATTGTTAATCAGGACAGGGCACCCTTCTGCCATTCCCCCTACATTTCATATTTCTGCACGTTCCCGCGTTTGTGTTATTTAAGTCCCATATATAAAAAAAAAACCCGGCGCTATGTATTCCTTGGATGACCATTCAGATAAAAGTTGTGACTACAGTCTGTTGTCCTGTAACGCTGCGTGTTTTCGTAACGCGAATTGGATATAACGCTATGCACGTACTGTATTAGGGAAGACATTTTTATAACGCGGATGCGAATTGGATGTAACGCGATTGAGCGAACAGAAACTACGACGGGGTAGCTTCGCACAAAGGCGGGATGCTGCTGGATGCTTCCAGATGCTACCCACGCGCCTCAGTCTTTGCTCAGCCTGCGTACGCGTCTCACGCGTTATCGCGGACTGTGGTGCTTTACCCTATATTATATATTATTTATTATAACGTGATTTGTCCATAACGTGCTGTGCTTCAGGAACGCAACGGCGACGGCGTTGTAGGAGAACGGGCTGCGCAGCAAATACAAATGACACTTGTGATGAGGAGGCGTAACAGCCAAAGAGGCAAGTCTCTTTCGCACGGCGGGAGAGACACCTGGGAGAGGCAGTGATTGTTGTCAAGGCAAATTCCGACGCCACGGTTAAAACACCTGCGCCGCTTTTACCTGCAGCGTGGGAAAGAGGTGAGCACTCGTTTGAGTCGCAGATGGGGACCGACCCCACCCCCCCCCCCCCACCCCCAGAGGGGCAAATGAGTGCAGCGGGTAGCTTTTTTGTGGGCACAGCCAACGCCGCAAGGTCCTTGTGATTTGTGTTGCCGTTGTGATTTCCTTCAATTGTTGCACGTGTTTAAACTTGGCGTTTTTCGCTGTGACGCAAGCACGTGAAAGGCTGTTTCTTTTGCTTAACGTCGGCTCTGGCTGCTCGAGGATCCCACTTTCCATGACACGCGCTTTGAAATGCCTCGCGCACATTGCCAGCACGAGAGCGCGGGGGGGAGTCGAACTATCATCACCGAGCTAAAGGAACCCACGGACCCCCAGGCCTCACAGCTGCCCTGCAAGTAACGTACAAGTAAGCTCTCGGTTAATGCCCCGTGACCACTTACAGGCAGCAGTGCACGCTCGCGTGTGTGTGTGTGTGTCTGTGCGCATGCGTGTTTTTTGCGTGAGTGAATTGATGTGTTTGTGTGTGCGTGTCCTTGCATGTGTACATGGTGGTGTGTGTGGGTAGTGGTGTGCCTGTGTTCGTGCGTGTGTGTGTTTGTGTGTTGTGGGAAGCGGTAGTGTTGCGGTTAGCACGCTGCGCTATGAACCCGGCGTCCCCAGTTCGATTCCTGCTCACAGCCGACATCAGTGGGGATTATTTGAACCGGTCCTGGGCCTCCCCACAGTCGATTCAGCCTCGAATGAGTACCTGGTGCAGTGTGTAAGCATCACTACTGGGGAGACAAAGGTGGTCGGGCGTGGTGCCAGCCACCCACCCCCTCCTGTACCGTTCCAGCCTTCATCGGTGCTCGCTAACAGTACTTGTCAGAACAGTCTGTTAAAGGCTTCTCAGGGGGTCTTTGTAACTCATGCAGCCAGCTATGGCTCTAGGATTTGGTGTTACATGTTATTTATGTAGTTTATTGTAAAAATTCGGTCACAGTCCCTGTGATCACTGTTACGTTGCAATTATGGCTTTTTTTTTAGTGATTTCGAAAACGTTTTTTGGTTTGGACATGTTTGTTTTGTTGTAGTACGGAGTTAGACTGATGGCCTTAATCTAAGTTTTCTTGTGGTTGTTTTTGTTTGACTTGCATCCCACCGTACAGCATTAGTGTACGGTGCTTTTTTCAGGAATATTTTGCTGTGTTTTTTCATGGATTTTCTGTTTGCACAGTCACACATAGTCACTTTAAGATGTTTTTCTTGTTCGTGTTTTTGTTTTTTTGTTTGTTGTGGTTGCACCCGATTCAAGAGCCGCATGGCTCACAGGGCTATACCAAAATAAATAAACTGAAAACTGAAAAAACTCTACCAGTCATCCCAGTCAGTGAACCCATAACACCTGGGTCTGCCCCGTGACCTGCCAGCGAGCGAGCCCGCGACACTTCACGTGGCCTCAAGTTGCACCTAGCTTGGCACGAGCGCGCTATGGTGATGTCACCGCCAGTTAGTGGCGAATGGCGCCTATTGTTGAGTGCGTGCGTGCGTGTGGATGTGTCGAGCCGAGGAGCTGGAGGACACGCAGTGCTTGAGCAATGCAGGTGTAGAGAACCATTGATTTCCCTGTGAAGTAGATCGAGTCCGTCTTCCCTTAATGACCCTCGCCACACTGCAGGCGTGCTTACAAAACATTACAATCGTAATATTTCCCTTCAAGGGCTGCCCTTGCCCAACGCTAATGCTGGTTTGTTCGCTGTCGCATTACTCGCATTGTTTGTCGAGTTGTTCCGCTTCGCACTCGAACAGCAGAGCATGGCCTTGCCTTGGGGGGGGGGGGCGGGGGGGTTAAAGGATTGCGTGTAGAAAGGAGACAAGTGTGCCGTTGTTGTGACGCAGTACAGCAAGTAGGTCTCGGCTCTTTTCTGTACAGCAGATTTTCAGTTTTTATTGCTCGTGTGTGTGTGTTTGTGTGTCTGTGTGTGTGTGTCTGTGTGATAGTGTAGCGGTTAGCGCGCTGCGCTATGAACCTGGCGACCCGGGTTCGATTCCCGCTCACGGCCAACACCAGTGACGATTATCTGAACCGGTCCCGGGCCTCCCCTAGGTCGACTCAGCCTGAAATGAGTACCTGGGGCGGTGTGTAAACATCGCCACTGGGGAGACAAAGGCGGTCGGGCGTGGTGCTGGCCACCCACCCCCTCGTGTGCCGTTCCGGCCTTCATAGGTGCTCGCTAACAGCACTTGCCCCTACAGTCTGTTAAGGCTATATGGGGGATCTTTATCTTTGTCTGTGTGTGTCTCTGTGTGTGTGTCTGTGTGTGTCTGTCTGTGTGTATGTGTGTGTCTGTGTGTGTGTGTCTGTCTGTGTGTGTGTGTGTCTGTGTGTCTGTGTTTGTGGATTTTCTTCAGGCACCCTGGCAGGTTTCTTTGCTCGTGACATAATCCAGTAAGGAATGGTGGAGACCCCCCCCCGCCACAGCCACTGGTGGCCTCTGCATTCACCGCGACGTACACACACTTACATTTTCACGTCAAATCAAACCCTCCGCTTCTACAGGGCGGCACCCCAATGTCCGTGGCTGGTGAGCCGAGACGTCGCGAAGCGTTTGATCAGTCTTCCCTCAGCGTGGCAACGTTCGAGCCAGACGTCCTCTTTGGCTGACACGGCACGGGGGGTTGGGGGGGGGGAGGCCTTTGGCCAACGGTGGATTGACGAGGAACGCTTCGCCGCGAATCGAAAAGGACGTTTCGTCGTGCGTCACGGCACAAGGGGGGGGGAACTCCGTGCATTCTGGTGTAAATGGAGTTGAACCCTCGCCGCGTGTGAATAATGTGACCCCCCCCACCCCCCCGCACCCTCCCGCCACGCTCGGGGGCCTCGTTAAGCCGGCGTGCACGCGAACGCAGAGGCGCGAGCCCCCGGGATTTCTGTCCGCCCCTCGCAGCGTCCCCCTGAACGTGGCTGGGTGATGCCGAGCGATGTTACGTTTCCTGCGCATGTTCTGCGCTGCTTTTTTTTCTTTTTTTCCCCTACGAAGAATTTGAGCCTCATTTAATTTTTTCACCCGACCCCGTTTGCTGAACGTCGGCCTTGCAGTTTCAGCCTTCTCGCTCTCTTTTTGCGGCACGTATCGATGTCTCTGACTGATGCTTGGATTGTTTAGGTTCACTATGAGACCTCCTTTGCCAGTAGCAAGATATAGTAATAGGTTTTTACCCTTTTTATCTGGCACCAAAACTGACACCCTTTATACAAGGGATCATTTTAACACGTAGGCTTTCGCGACCAATATTATTCATAATAAAGGTTTTTGGGTTATATCGCGTTATTTATAAGTGTGTCGTAACCCTCCACCACCCGACACGGCCAATCAGCAAAAAAAAGTGTCACGTTAGCAAAAGACAAATAATTCACTACTTTAGCCCACCGGTGTGTTGAAGAGTGAATCGACAACATTTACAGTTTGAGTACGACGTTTCGCTGGTAATTCGCGAATTGCCCGATGATGCTGGATGTAATTACCAGCGAAACGTCGTACTCAAACTGTAAATGTTGTGGATTCACTCTTCAACACAATTGCGGAGAGCTGCCTCGTCTCCGTCGAAGCAGGAAAAAATATATATATGAGGGCAAAGTGTCAAGGTGTGCACGCACGCACTCTGCACGCTTGACGGGCCTCAGCCACCATCTCTGCCTCTGTCACTGGTACTGCCGGGAGCTCTGGTGACCTCCAAAAGCAGTCAGCGGGGAAATTGGCGTGCGTCTTGCACATGAAGGCAGAACATGGCCATCCCCATCCTCGGTGGAACGATTTTCTGGAGACCCTGATGACCTGATCGCCGGTGTTTATATTGGAGGTGTGTTGCACACTCGGTTTGGGCCGGCAAGGCCACGCCACGTGTGGGTTTTGTTGTGACGGGACGGTAAATCGGTGGTCGTGTTCCGTTCAATGCGGCCAGGCAGCACTGTGGTTAGAACACTCCACTCGCAGTTGAAAGGTTGCGGAGTTCAAATCCCGGTAAGGGCTCCAATTCGTACCATCTCCCCTGTGGAGTTGATACAAAAAAAAACGAGCGGCACTTTGCGAGAAGACGTCAAGCGGTGGTTGTCTTCATGGGTGGACCGGCCATAGGAATGTGTAATTTCCTCCGGTAGCTCAAGCGCGTTCAACTGCCACGAGGAGCTCTCCCACCAAATGCCAAAATGCACGAATGATCGCGATGTTGAGTGGCTGGACAGCCTGGTGGTCAGCATGCTGGCGGGCCACTCAACTGGCTTGTAGAGTTTTTTTTTTGCGCTTGCCTTGCCGATGCTGTCAGGCGCAGTCTCATTCTGTCTGCTACAAGGCGGGCGACGGGTGGTCCTGTGTGTGTGTGTGTGAGCCTGCCCAAGTGTGACGGCCCAGTTTGGGCGGGGGGGGGGGGGGGTTCAGCTGGTGTGCATCTTGCCAGTCACCTCGGTCGGCCAAACCACGGCACCACCTGGGTCTGTCCCGTGACCTTCCGTCAGCGAACCTTCGACACTTCACGCGATAGCCTCAAAGTGCACCTGGCCTGGCACAGGCGCCGTGGTGACGACACCATCGCTTAGTGGCGAACGGCTGGTATTCGTGTTGGTAAGCGTGTTTGGATCCCACCCTGAAACCCACAATGGAAATTTTTCCTACAGCCAAGCTAAGAGAAATCGGTGCTCTAATTGGGCTGCTTCTGGTGTCCATTGTAGTCCATTTCAATTGGGTTTGTCTCTTGTTACCTAATCCCCTGTACACGCACGCGTGCGCATGCAATAATAATCTCCTTCCACATTGCTCTAGGCCGTAATCAAACTCCAAACTTTTAGGAAAAGCCATCGTTGATGCTACAGCAGTATAACTGTTAAGAAAAGACACAAATATCCCTGAAGGGTAGGGGGGGGGGGTGAAACCCAACATTGGAAATGATGAAGAAGCCTAATGAGTGGCTCCTGGCAAGAAAAACTACAAATTCAAGAGCGTCAAACAGAAGACGGGGCAATTAAGCGTAGTCTCTTTGAT